GGAATGCCCAGACCTAACTCCAGAAACACTGGGCCACCCAAATAGAGATGAGCAAACTGGCCATGTGCTAGCCTTAGACATATGTACTAACCTCAGAGGCTCTGTCCACTTTGGGGCACAAGAAGAGCCCTCACTAGAGCCACCCTGCCATTCACTCTTGGCACGATAACCACAGCATATCACTCCCTGCCTCTCTGAGAACTTGCAGATCTTGGTACCTGAAACTCACTGTCTCTGACCTGGCCTCACTGCCTGTCCTCTGACCCTTCATGAGACCTCCAGGAAGGATTGAACGGGCTGTTGACACAGCCTCGGCAGGTACTTGGGACATCTTGGGACTCATGCCTGGCTCTTCACCTCCAGAGACAGCTCAGGATGACCAGCTAGTATGAATTATTCTCATCCCTTGACCTGATCCTAGAATATGCAAAACTTTAGGCTATATAATAAAGTCTGACAATAGGGAAAAGCACAAACGTACCCAGGGTCTTATTCCCTCATTTGCAACAAAGTCTCAGTGGTATCTAAGGAAAAACTATTTTTCTCTGTTTTAGTATGGGTTCTGTTGAACTAATTAAAACCTTATCATTGTTTGAAGCCAGAACACTCTAAAAGAAGTATAACCCAGAGTGTTGCTGAGGTTGCTGGTTTTCACATACAGGCCCATGGTCCTGGTAAGGAACAACCTCCCAGGAAAGAGCCCTAAAAGGATGGAGGAGTATGTGTGTGTTCTCATCCTCCTGCCAGAATTTTCTGAAGAAAATGGAAAGCAGATCAAGAAGGCATGCCAACTGGAAGATCGGTGGAAAACTGCAATTTCACTTAAAGTAGTAGGTGGCAACGGGCTAGATTATGACTAAGAGAAGAGAATGAAAATGAGGAACACATGAAAGTTGGAAATCTTGGAAATCAGAGGCTTCACCAGATAAGACGGAGAGCATGCTAGAAACTGCTATCAAAATATATGTGAATAAAACTGAGCAACACCTGTTAGACCACAAATGAGGAATCAGACATCAGTGGCTTCAAGGTCCATCCCAAAAGTAGAGACTTGGAGACCCCTGCAAGTGACCTAGATCTCTCTGAGAGAAAAGAAAGGACTGCTGGCTTTGAAAGGTCACACGTCATGGATCTCTGAGTTCTGCACTCTCTCTCTTGTCAATCAAACATTCTTATTCATAATACTGCAAGTTGAATAAAATTGTATAATTTTTTTAATAAGGAATCTGGGGGAGTCAGCCATGGTGTGGTGGTTGTACTGGCTGGATCCCACATGGTTGAATGTGTGGTTCAAGTTCTCAACCCCTGACTTGAAAAATACTCTAGGTGTTTCCTTTTCACCACACCCCTGCCAGCACTTATCATTTTTTGATTTTTTAATCTTAGACATTCTGACTGGGGTTAGTTGATATCTCATTGTTGTTTACTCTTACACTGCTGGTGGGAATGTAAATTGGTCCAACCACTGTGGAGAACAATTTGGAGATTCCTCAAAAATCTACAAATAGAACTACCATATGATCCAGCAATCCCACTCCTTGGTATCTACCCAAAGGACAGAAGAATACTTAATCAGAAAAGTGCTTGCACATCAATGTTTATTGCGAAACTTTTCACGATTGCTAAGTCATGGAAACAACCCAAATGCCCACGAACTGATGAATGGTTAGAAAAACTGTGGCACATATACTCAATGAAATACTATTCATCCATAAAAAACAACAAAACCCTGGCTTTTGACAGGAAGTGGATGAATATGGAAGACTTACTGCTGAGTGAAGCAAGCCATGCTATGAAGGAGAGGCATTGTATGTCCCCACTTAATATATATCAAGTGTCTGCACTCTATGACTAAAACTAATTGTCTAAGGGATATAGAAATGCAGTATATAGATGTAAATACCAGATATAGTGTGTGTGAAAGAGGAGGGTCTGAGGAAGAACATTTGGGGGAGGGGCAGGGAGGAAAAGCATTAATGGCACAAAGAGGTGTGGTATTATCTGTTGAAGATATTTCGTAGTTTTATTAACAGTACTAGGGAGAAGTTCACCTGTTGAAATATCCATTTTGTAAGACAAATAATAATGTGATTGAATGTATGGAAGAAAATGAAATGAAAAAAAAATTTTAAAAAGAAAGAAAGAAAAATACTCTAGGTGTATGGGTGTGTGTGACCAGAATCCCAAAATGAGGGACAAGGAGAGGAGAAAGCATTGCCATGTGACCATTTCCCATGAGGAGTACTTGATTTTAACATCCATGAAAATGGATAGAAAGTTATGCCAAAGGAAAAAAATAGAAAGAATTAAATTATCTTAGATCAGCAATCCAAAAGCTAAAACTTTTTCCAGAGGACGGGCACCACCACACCCACTAAAACTTTTTCAATGGTAGTAATTGAAACATTAATCAGATTATTCATTAATTCAATCTACATAATATTACAACTCATAGTTAACAAAAATTATTATGGTCACTTTAAATAAGATGAAAAAGGCATACAAATGTTCTCTTTTGGGCTAGAAATTACACTTATTTTCAAGTAAGACATTATTTTTCTTTTGGTGATATTTTCAGATAATATTAAATTAAGATATGTCTATGTTGGATAAGCCACTTAAATTCTCAGTATCTTGGGCTGTGCCTAACTGATGCCATCATTAGTATCAACATACTTAACAGTTCTTAAGTAAGTTGTTAACTTGTTTAACAGTTAAGAAAAATACTGACAAAGTGTGCTACATAAAAAGTAACTGTTTATAAAATGCATACATTATTATATGATTGCAGCCATGATATACATACTTTTTTGTATCCAAAAAATGTATACTTAATTGTTTTCCATGAACTTTCTGAAGTCCCATCATACATATTATACAAACATGTAATGCAACTAGAACACACACATATAGATATAATATAAAAAAATACTCCCCAAAGCAATTATTACTTACATGAAATAAAGATAAATATGCCTCTGAATTAAACACTGAACTCACAATATTAAAATCTATTTAAAATTTTTTACTTCATTTTTTTCATCTGAAAATCAATTTGGACAAGTAAAGAATTTGTACTCTTAAGAATTAAGAGCATAACAAATGTTCTTTCTTCATTTTTCCTTCTTTTTTTTTAATCAAGTTATAAGGAAGTATCATTCTTGGGCTCTAGGAGCAACATACACGGTAAAAACCAAAACACAAATAATGTTATCCCACTTTAATGTACATCAGAGGTTTCCATGTGGATTCAAAAGGTAATTCCAGAAGAATCTACTTTTTAAAAACCACTAAAATTTAGTTTTTAAACTGTTATAAGAATTAGACAGAAATTTAACAGAGTCAGCAAAGATGAGGAATTTTGTTCATTTGCTTATGGATCATTTAAGTGTTTTAACAAAAAATAGCATTTAGAGGTGACTCACTTTGGGGCCTTGTGGTCCTGGTTTTCCCGGAGGACAAATACAGGGAGCAGGAGTTGAACCTACATCACTGGGGCCATTGAGGCACTACAAAGACAAAAATGGAGGTTAGCAACAAACGTGGTAAGACATACGCATAAGTGTATGGGTGTCTACATGTTTGTGTAAAATGGTAAAGATATCATACAGTCACTTTTCAATTGTATTTCTCCTAATCCAATACAAAAATTCCAATCACAAAAATATATAAATACTAAATACATTTAAACTACACAAAATTCTTTTCTGTTCTTTTAATATACTCACAGTTGATGAGAGGAAGCCAAATAGTCCCACAACGCAAGTATTACCTTAAGGAGAAAAATAGCATCCAAGCTTACCTCTCCATTCTGAAAGACAAACAACACATGTGTTTTAAAATAATTTTTTATTAAATCAATTTAATTACATTGAATTAAATCTTCCTAACTTATAGATAATTCATTGTCCAGGCTAGAGAAGTTCCAAACCAGCATGAACTAATACATTTGCACAGACCTATCCTGACAAATGACTTCTCTATTCCATGCTACTTCTACACTAATAGTATTACAAAGGAAGGAAGGAATAAAGCTGAAGAGCAGGCAGAAAAAAATTAAAATACCAAAGCTCCTTGTTATAATAGCCATGTAAAAAAAAATATATCTCCAGGTGAGATTTATGTGCTTACTTGAATTTCCTAGAAATCATTTAAGGACAAGGGGGAAAAATTAAAAAACAAACAAACAAACAAAAAACAATGAGCAAGTTAAGAACTCCATGCATTATTTTATGCATTTGACTTTAGGCGAGTCTCGATTTCTTACTAAATAACACATGATTTTAAATAGGTTAATATATTTTTTCTGAATAATAACATATTACATAAGAAAACAGAAAGGTGGGAATGAAAGTGCAAAAGGCAAACAAGCCATATGAAGTAACAGCTGAGAGGAAGAAAGGAAACATAAAAAACATAAAATGGTAGATTTGAGAATTAAAAATATACAATTTAGAGTTGTGCTTTTATTATACGGGAGGATAATGACAATGGTTATGCAATAATATGACATCATTATATTAGTTCATCAGAAAAGTCATGACATATTTTTTGGTTTTTTTAACGCAAAAATGACCAATGACCCTAAAATATGTCCAATGGACCTTCCAATGCAATGACTTGATAAAATTTTTAGGGGAGATTTATACATCAAGTTATTAAGTATCTAAAATAAAAACCATATGTTTAAACTATCTAGAAAACCCAGAATTTCTAGAAGTTTTCATGTTTGATTTAATGTAGATTCTTTAAATGTACTGACCTATGTCTTCAAATTTTTAGAACATTTGGGTTTTTTAAGTTACTCAGTTTCGTAAGAAAAAGGAAAATGATGACAGCATGGCTATACAAATTAAAGAACAATGTTAGTTCAAATATCACTGAGAATCCATATTGTCTTAAGAGTTTTATAACGTTCTATCTTATTTCCATTAGCAACTGTATATCATCTTCTTCCTGTGGAAAGGAGATTGGCTACACTCACATGTGCATGAAATCAGATGCTGTAACATTTTAGCTTACACTCTTTTTCCTCCTAACACAATTTTGAAAATAGCTAAATAAATAGAAATGTTCATTATATTCTAGAACTATCAGAAAATCTTACATAACCATAAGAAAAGGAAAACTGTTCCTTATGGTGTGAGGAAAAAGTATTGGAGAATGGGAAAACTATTATAGTTATTTTTTATTCTTCATAACTGTGCTGTTTGAGGGGTTCTCCCTACACATTCAGTTAAGTATCGAAATGTATCTCACAAACTGATATTCAAACACAGTAGTTCCGTTTTACTTGAGCACTGGAAAATTCACAATCAGACACAACCTCGGGGAAAAAAGCATGTACGTCCTTGAGGTCTTTCATTTACACTTGTACAGTGACGACATTGTCATTTTCTTTCTGTTATGAACTTCATAGTATATTTTCCTCAGTATAACTTTGTTTTTATTGATGATAAAAATATAAAATTAATTCTACATGTCAAAAGAAGACTCATATATATATTTGCTTTTTAAAATTGTTTTAAAAGTACTAAAGCAACATGTGAGAAAATAAAAAGATATTATTTTACTTACAAATCCAGGAATCTCACATGCTGTTTCCCGATTGTTCTGTTCTGGGTCACAATAGATTCTCAGTTTTTGGAGATCAAACTAGAAATATACATCCCATAGAGTTAACATTGAGACACAAGATAGTTGTTTAATAAGAGCAACTGAGGGGCCAGCAAATGGCTTAATGGTTATTGTTGCTGGACTCCCACATGGTAGACTGTGGTTTGAGTCCCAGAGATGATGGCTTCAAACTCAGATCGAGGCATGTGTGCCCAAAATCCCAAAAGGAGATTAGAGGAGAAAGGACTGCAATGTGGCCATCCCCCGGGGGTGATTTCTCACTTTCTGTCTCTCTGTCTCTTTCTGGTGAGCACTGATGCCCTATAGCAAAAAACCTGGGGAGGGGGGCAACTCAGAGGCACTATACTTAGTAATTGTGTAAGCTTTGAATCACCGCCTGTAGCTAAGAGAATAAAAACACACAATTCAATACCTAGCATACACTACAACTATGTGACGCAATGTATTTCCCTAAGGAAAAATCTCCCAGTACCAAGGACAAATCTCTGATTTTTCAGAAGTTCAGCAAAACTTTTTTTAGTATCCCTGTATCCAGAGATAATCGAGAGAACATTTCCTGGTATTCTTAAAAGCTTTCCCAGGCTTTCTGTGTTTTTCCTAAATCTCTACAACATTCCTGATTGTATAGGGTGTGCTCAAGAAGCCATGTAGGTTTTAGAGATTTAGCTGCGGTATAGAGTGCTGTGTGAAGGCTAGACCCAGCACCTGCTGCTGTTTAAATATTTACTATAATTTGACATGTAGCATTAATGTAGTAACCATGTGAGTAATTACACATTTGAATGTGACAGTCTTCCCTTAATAGAAACAGAACAGTAAGGACATACTTTTTCAAATGAAGAATTTTTTTTTTCTAGAAATAGCTTCTACATACATTTTTAACTCAAACACAGATATTCCAGTATAAAGAGATATCCAAAAAGCCAAGACAAAATGTTTTTTCGGTATGAGATGAACATAATACATCATTGTTTTTTTTAAGTAATGGTTTTGTTTTTGAAGAACTCTGACATGCATTAATCTAGTTTTACCCTCACAGCTGCAAAGAAACTTTTATAGCCATCACTTAATGCTCTAACCATATTCCATTCCAAATTCATTATGTAAACTCTGTTTCTCATGGGAAATATGAAATTAATATTTCCTCAAAATATAGAATTTTACCCTGAATCCAAGGGAACAGTTTTATAGAGCATTCTTATAAAATAGATGAAGTCCAATTTTGCATTTTTATCTACACACACAAACACAATTTCACTAGTGAACTGACAGCATTTTGAGTAGGGGAATTCATGATTAAGTCAAATATAGTCAAAGAACAACAAATACTAGTCAAATACTATTACAAAGAACAACAAAAGTTTTATTTTAGATAGTGCAAAAACTAAGCCATTATTGATTCACCTGAACAGTTTCTTCTTTCCCAGAATATTTTCCAATTTGGGTTTGCCCACTGGTGAAGATCCCTAAAACGGGGTGTAAGGACTTGTTTTCAATTTGTTGATCATCAATATAGAGAGTTACATCTTGCTCTGTTACTAGTAGACGAATTTGGTGCCAGCCTTCATCAAATAATGCCTATAGGAAGTAAGCATGGAAGATTCATAAATAAAACCCCTAATAACCTTTCATTTCCTTTGTTCCTATTCTAGTGCTGAGAAAACTCACAACACACAGATTGGCTGTATTACATACTAATTCACCCTGATCCAAGCTAGGTCTTACACATGACAGTAGGTAATACTTCATTAATCCTTAAGTTTCTGTCACAAATCCCAAAGTCATTGTGTCAAAAAATTTACTCAGGGACTAGCAGTTAGTGTAATGGCTATGTCGCTGGACTCCCATGTAGTCGGCCGTGGCTCGTGTCCCAGACCCGGTAGCTTAAACTCATGCCGGGCGTGTGTGCTTGCGTGCCCAAGATCCCAAGAGGAGAATGGAGGAGAAGGGATTGCTGCGTGGCCATCCTCCCTGGGGGGTGATTTCCTGCTTTCTGTTTCTTTGTCTCTCTCTGTCCGTCTGGCGAGCGCACGTGCCCTATAGCAAAAACCGCTGCAAAAAAACCAACCAACCAAAAAAAAAAAAAAAAACCATAGTACATAGTACTAAAATTGCTAGAATAATTTTGCCAAGATTTCTCACAATCAGCCTAAAAGCATATATAACAAAATAAATGTGAATTTCCCCCAAACTTTCTTCCTCTCAAACTTTCCCTTGGATAATAATATCCTCTTTTCCTAAAACATAAATGTCTTTTCCTAGTTGCAATAACTAATCATCTGTAAACTTCTACCAAATAGGTCTCTTACACATGAAACAAATTGCCTCTGTATTTTCACTCTCAACATGATAATTTAGGTTCATAGCTAACTTGCTTCACTGCAAAATTTTTAAATTTATATCTTTTCCTGACCATTTTCTCTTCAAGTCATTATTAATACATCCACTAGAATTACTCTCACTAGAGTTTTATTAGGGGATATGTCCCATTTTACTAATTTCTGTATCCTCAGAATCTGACTTAATCCTAAAATAGAGCTGAAAGCATTGTTTATGTAAGGAAGGAAAAAAGAGAGAGGAGAGGATTGCATTGACCATTACAATGACACCTGCCATCTAGTGAATGAAGTCAACATTTTTTTACATGGGTTTCTGGGCCTCTCACAAGTTGGGCTTATACCTTGCTAACCTTTTCTTCATGCATTTTGTACTCAAACACAGGGACACTGTTTCCTATTCTCTAAATAAAAACCCTGCATTGTACTATACACACAATTACTCAATACGGAACTATGGACTTAACGTGCCCTTATATTTCTATTTCTATCAAAATCATATATATATATATATATATATATACACACACACACACATATATATAAATGTATGTTGTGTATATACATGTATACACATACATGTATACATGTAGATGTGTGTGTGTGTGTGTGTGTGTGTGTGTGTGTGTTTTCTCTCTTCCCTCAACATAACACACACCCAATGGTGCTTTACCATGCTTTTAAGGTCCAGTCCAAAAACCATCTCATTTATGAACATTTCTATATTTTATGTTAGAACCCATTTTTCTATCATTTTTCTATCTCTATCCCAGTAATACTTTGTATTTCTATGATGGCCAGGGACCTTGACTATCCCATTATGAATAAGGTCCTTGAAGGTGAGAAATAGGCCTTATATATTTGTCATTTATTATATACTCTAATGCATAGGTTTTAATGAACATAACAGATGTTTTTAAATTTAATATGCCTACTAATGAAAAAAATGCATACATGCATAATTTTCATATAAAGCCATGTACATTTCCAAAACTGAATAATATGCCTCTAATAGGCATAATTACAAGAATGAGCAAAATGTAACTGCTTTTATCATTGTATCTGCATTACGAGCACATGGTTTGAAAAATAAAAGTCTTTTAGCTTATCCATTTTATGAGACCATCAGAGTTCAAAAAATATATATAATTAAAGTGAGTTTATTTGACTGCAAAATTTTAAATACCTGTGCAAGTATTTTCATAATACACATTTTCCATAAACTTTTTTGAAGATTCCCCCCATATTAAATATTGGGTTATTGGGAAAGTCATGATACATTTTTTTTTTCATAGAAAAATACATTATGGCTTTCCCAACGACCTAATATGTATTTTTTTTTTCATGAAATAAAATGTCTTCCTAGTTAAAGTAAATTCTGTACCTATTATCTACTTGATATTTAATATTTTAATAGGTATGACCTATGTCAACATCCTATAGGATATGGAAATGTAAAACATGAACATAAAAATCACCAGGACCAAAGTTCAATTCCTGTGTTACCACTTACTAGCTGTGTCATGATGAGAGGAAACTTATCTATCTTTGTCTGTAAAATGGTAACAAGTGCATCTTCATTGGGTGGTTATTATAAATAAATGTGCCCAGTACTGAGTAGTGAGAAGTCAAACAATATTATTTCCCCTCACTTCTTTTCCTCATATTGATTATGAAAGAATTTCCCTTCCTTTGTTGCTTTTCTTCAATAAAGCAATGTTAAAATGTAAACTCAGTAGCTTGTTAAAATTAGAGTTCTTGGGACCAGCAGATGGTATAATGGTTATGTTGTTGGGCTCCCACGTAGTCAACCACAGTTCAAGTCCTGGTCCTGGTGGTTTAAAAACTCATGCTGGGCACGTGTATGTTTGTGGCCAAGATCTCAAGAGGAGAAAGGAGAAGGAGTTGTGGCATGGCCATCCCCCGTGGGGGATTTCTCACTTTCTGTCTCTGACAAGTGCACGTACTCTGTCGCAAAATCTATCAAGAGGCCAGCAGGTGGTGTGGTGGTTAAGAGCACTGGACTCCCATGTGGCCAATTATGGTTTGAGTCCTGGACCTGGCAGCTTGCTTTCTCACTTTCTCTCTCTTGCTAGCTCTCGCTCTGTCCCTCTCTGGTCAAATTAAAATAAACAAAAAAATAAATAAATGTGAATTTAAAAAAAAAAACTCTCAAAAAAAAAATTAGAGCTCTCTTCCCTCAACATAGTACAAAACCAATGGTGTTTTACCACAACTACAATAATCACATCCTGACATCTTTACCTTAACTCGAGGGTCAGCAAAGGTTACCACTTGTGAGCCGTTAATTATACTGGTTGTGGTAAATAATAAGGTTTTGTCCACACCATTTAAGGTAACTGCTATCTGTGGCCTTCCATCCATGGTTAATATTCTCCATAAATCCCATATCTTCTTGACCTTAAACCTCTGAGTGGAGACAAATACATATGATGGAGGAAGACCTTCTGGAAAAACATTGCTAGAAAAAGAAGAGATACATACATATATATCCATTTAAAGAATTCTCAACACACCTACAGACATATAAAAAAAAAGTTGTATCAACATTTAATATTTACCTTGTAAATTCTGATAAATCAACTTTTGATGTTACTTCATATCCTTTTATCTTTGTTGGTGAAAGCTGGATTCTTTTTTTAACCTTTTTTTTTACACCCAGACCTAAAAGAATATCAAATCCCTTCTCATCACGAGCTGCCACTGGAATTCGTGTTGGACAGACTGATTCTATAAAACAATAGTAGTAAAGGTGGTTTAATCATTGACTATTCCAATGAAAAAAGAAAAATCAAAAGAAAAATGCTAGAAAAAGTGACAATTATAAAGCCTATTATGTACGTACGCTTATGTATACATTTTTCTGAGAAAATATGGAAGTATTTTAGGCATTTGAAAGTAAGGTCTCAAATTTGTTAAGTGTTATTTTTTTTCCCTCTAACTGGGATTAAAGTAAAACAAGTGTAGGAAAAAGATTTGTTAATGGATTATTTTAAGAGCAACATTATTTTATATAACATGAAGCAACCTAATACCTAGGGAGAAAAACACAAACAGGATTCATGATTCTCAACCAGAATTTGCTCTTTGATCATTATGTGACCTTGGATAATGCTTTTAAATTTCTTGGATCTAATAGATGAACTCTAAGGATCTTTTCTTTCATTCCCAGTTATTGGTGTGGGGAGAAAGGGTAGGAAAAAAATAAATGCTGTTCTTGACATTATTTCTACATCTAAGAAATTTATAATTCTACATTCAAATTCCATTGATTCTATCATTTTGGAAATGACTCAACCTGGATCTTAACTAGTCATGGAAGTTCTTCAAATAGGCCTATTATCTTATCTATAATTAATTTTATTATGTTACATTAAACTATATTAATCATATTAATAAATAAGTCAAGAATATTTCCTTAGGAAGAATCACTAATTACTATATCATCAGGTCTATAAATCATATGAACTACTTTATAGTTCTCTGGGAAATTAGTATCTTCACTAGTGAAAAAAATTGGGGGGGGGAGAGGTTTTTTCTTTTTCTTTCTTTCTTTCTTTCTTTTTTTTTTTTTTTTTTTTTTTTTTTTGCTATCACCAGAAAAGAGACAGAAAGCAAAAAATCATCCCCCAGGGGGGATAGCCACACCACAGTCCCTTCTCTTCCATTCTCCTCTTGGGATCTTGGGCACATGCACACATGTGCCCAGTGTGAGTTTAAGCCACCAGGTCTGAGACTCAAACCAGTAGACTACATGGGAGTCCAGTGACATAGTCATTACACCAACTGCTGATCCCACTAGTGAAAATTTTTATGTGGTTGAAATGCTATTAAGCTGTTAAACTATAAAAATGTTGCAAACTATAAAAGTGTTTTCAAATTCTTCCAAACCCTTTGTTTAACATATACGTGGAATGGGGCTGGCAGGTGGCATGGTGGTTAAGGGCACTGGATTCCCACACAGCCAACCATGCTTCGAGTCTAAGACCTGGTGGCTTGGTTTCTCTCTCTCTCTCTCTCTCTCTCTCTCTGGTCAAAATAAAACAAACAAAAAAACAAAGTTAAATAAAAAATAATTCTTTTAAAAATATGTGTGAAATACGTGAAACATGATTGCTGATGTTTTATAGAACAGCTAAAAGAAAAAAACAAGAGCAAACTCTACTAAACATGTTTATGATAATCACCCTCTTAAGTAACACTGAGGCAGGAAAAGACATTATATTTATAATACAATCAAAATTAATGATACAGATCTTATTAGTTTAAAAAATACAGTTATAACATGTATCATAGACTATTGAAATTATGTAAAGTTTTGATAAATAAAATTAGATATATTCCCAGGAAGGAAGGGCTATTTTCTATTCAGATCATAAGATGTTGCATTTTGAAAGGGTCCAGTCAATAATATCCTTTTTCTGCCAGTAAGCTTGGAGCTAACTGATGAGGAGATATATGAATGAGGCAAACAGAAAAGGCTGGTTAGATGTGTGGTCCAGTGAGTTTCATGAAACTACACACCATAGTTAACTCTGCCCTCCCAGCTACGCAGAGCTGAGTCATCTCCATCCCTCCTTGGGAGCAGGCCTGCCCACTAAGCTCACTCATGGTCTAGAGAGGAAACCAAAACACACCAGCACCACAGAGCTGCCCATCTGAAGAGAAGAAGGCGGAGGCACTCTGCCATCCCTGACCAGCTAATGTCAACAAATTCAGTAAATGGAAAACATGCTTCTCCCTCAGCTGTAAGAGCAAAAGAAGGCAGAGAGAGAGATCAGAAAAGTTAGTCTAACAGATATCTCTTTATGTGAAAACATAAGAAGCAAGGAATCATTTCCCACAGAATGCTGTATTATATTATTTCAGGTGAACCAATGGAATAGAGACCCCAGAAATAGACCCCAAAGCTTACAACCAAATGATTTTTAACAAAAAATATCTGTCAATTCATTGGGAAAAGGAACACCTCTTTACCAAATGGTGCTCAAAAAACGAGGCCCACTGGCAGAAAGATGAAACTGAACCCCCATCTTTCACCATTAACAAAAATCAACTCAAAATGGATCAAAGATCTGAACCTAAGATCTCAAACTATAAAAACTACTAGTGAAAAACATTGGTGAAACTCTGGGAGACATTGGGGTAGGCAAGGACTTCTTAAATAAGACTCCCACAGAAAGCATGGGCAATAATCATTAAAATAGACAAATGGGACTATATCAGAATAAGAAGTTTCTGCATAGCAAAGGACACAATAATTAGTGTGAATTGACAACCCTCAGAATTGGAGAATATTTTTGCAAAATATGCCTCAGATAAGGGACTAATAACCAGAATACACAGGAAATTCAAGTAACTTACCCGAAAAATGTGATTAACCCAATTAAAAGATGGGAAAATGAGCTGAACAAAAGTACATATGAATAGCTAAAAGGCATACGAGGAAATGCTCAACATCCCTCATAAGGGAGATGCAGATTAAAACCACTATGAGATACCATCTACCCCCTGTCAGAATGGTGAAGATTAAAAATACAAAAAGTGATTAAGTGTTGGCAGTGTTGTGGGGAAAGGGGAACTCTCCTACACTGTTGGTGGGAATGTAAATTGGTCCAACCACTGCAGAAAATAATATGGAGGTTCCTTCAAAGATCTACAAATAGAACTACCATATGATCCAGCAACCCCACTTCTGGGTATCTACCCAAACAACAGAATTCACAGTCAGAAAAGCTCTTGCACATCAATGTTTATTGCAGTATTATTCATGATTGCTAAGACATGGAACTAACCAAAGTGTCCACAAACAGACGAATGGATTGAAAAAGTGTGGCACACATACTCTATGGACTACTATTCAGCCATAAAAAATAAGATAAAAATTTGATAGAAAGTAGTCAAATATGGAAGATTTATTGCTGAGTGAAGCAAGGCAGGCTATGAAAGAAAGATATTGTATGTATCGACCTAATATATACCAACTATCCACACGATATAATAGAAATTAAAATATTGGAGGGCATAAAAACAGAGAAAATAGTTATGGCCACTGAAGACAATATAGAACAGGGTTGGGTGGAAGAAGGAAAGAGTATAGAGAAGGATAGCATGAGAACAAATAGAGAGGTATCACATTTGTGGGACACAGAAATGGTTTATTGATGATAACGTGGATAGTATTCTCTACCAGACTGGTCTGAGAAGTATTTCATGTTGGGTAAATTCTCTTTACAAGCCAAATAATGTACATTGATTGAATATTTTAAAAATAATGAGAATAAATAATAATAATGATAAAAGAAGTTCATGGGCTGGCTCAATGGCATAGCAGTAACAAAGGCACAAGAAGAAATCTTGTTCTTTCTCTTTCTTCATTTTGTTCCTCTAAGCTTGTGCCTGGTTTAATCAAAAACAGGAATGGAGGAATGACATCAGAGGAATGACAGGGTAGGAAGTTCTAGCTCATGTTTCTTTGTAGAAATACTAACTTAAAAATTATAAATAGACCTTCATGAGAACTTCAGAATCCAGTTAGGAAGTTGTAGAACCCTAGGTGAACACAAAGTCAAGAACAGTCACAATGAAGTGGGTAAGAAGAACAACTTTACCCAGGTCAGGCCCTCCCCCAAGCTGGAACAGAGCAGAGTCAGGAGTAAATGTCCCAGCTCATTACTTCTCCTTTAGAAAAGAGTGAAATATGTTATTCCATGCTCTGGCTTTCCAGAGGGGTATCTCAGGACTGGCTTCTGTCTCACCTCATTCAGATTGCTGACAGAATTGGTGTAGGTTGGATGTCTAGAGGCTGCTGAGAACAAAGAAAGGAGATGTCTTGTGGTGGCTGGCACAACTTAGTACAATCGGGAAAAGGCACACAACATGAGGCTTCTCTCTTAAGAGAAAGAGAGACAAGGAGAGCGCATGTCTGATATTTAGCTTTCCAAAGTGCTGCCCGAGGGGCTAATATCTGTCTTCCCTGACTGTAGGCACTAATAGGGATCTAGAATAACATGGATGCCTGATAGCCAATGAGAATGAGAGAGCGCGAGCCGGCTTTAGCTACAGAATCAGAGAACACGCAGTGTTGCAGATAGGCTAACCACAGGAAGAGACTACAGGTTCCCAATAAGAAATTAGAAAGATTCTCTAATTGAGGAACTGCACACATAGGTCCAGAAAATTCACAATCCATCCAAAACAAGGTTTGAGAAGCCTCGGTGATTTCTAGCCAGGCTGACTGGAGAGGGTCTTCCTTACACAAGATCAGTTCATAAAGACTAGAGGATGTTGCTTTTTTCCCCCCCTGAAGCTTTGACTCTAAAGCAGAGATACAGGGGGAAGGAAAGAAAGAAAGAAAAGAAAGAAAGAGAGAGAGAAAGAAAGAAAGAAAGAAAAAGAGAAAAAAAAGAAGGAAAGCAAGAAAGCAAGAAAGCAAGAAAGCAAGAAAGCAAGAAAGCAAGAAAGCAAGAAAGCAAGAAAGCAAGAAAGCAAGAAAGCAAGAAAGCAAGAAAGCAAGAAAGCAAGAAAGCAAGAAAGCAAGAAAGCAAGAAAGCAAGAAAGCAAGAAAGCAAGAAAGCAAGAAAGCAAGAAAGCAAGAAAGCAAGAAAGCAAGAAAGCAAGAAAGCAAGAAAGCAAGAAAGCAAGAAAGCAAGAAAGCAAGAAAGCAAGAAAGCAAGAAAGCAAGAAAGCAAGAAAGCAAGAAAGCAAGAAAGCAAGAAAGCAAGAAAGCA